AGATCAATAAATACATAATTATTTGCATCTAAAAAGTAATACAATTGTGTATAATAAAGTAAAAACCTTTAATTTACTATGTAACTAAGTGCTATTAATTTATTGATATTCATAAATGTCATAACTTGTTTATACATTTGTATATAATTCATAACTTTTATAAATAAAAAACGTGCATGGTCTCAACCCATGCTTATATCTGCCTAACGCGTATATTGCTTTAGCCACTTAATTTACAATGCAGTTATCCTCACTTCAAAGACCAATAAAACTAAGTCTAGGATGAACAAAATACCTTACCAAACACAAAAAAAAACATAAAATACCCTAACAAACGATTGAAATTTAACAAACATTTTATTGTTTTTAGACTAATTTTTTATCACATAAGATAACGTATCTTTAAAAATGTTAAATTTGCCCAAGTAACTTTATAAACTTTTGAATTTTATAATTGAATTATAAAACTATAAAAGGGGATCAGATGCTTTTTAACTTGATTGTTCCAACTAAGCAATTTAAAGAATTAAGTAAAAAAAGAAAAATCTAAACTATTAAGTTTAAACTGTTGTAAAATATATTTTAAAATGTTAATGCAAATAATTATGCAATTTTTGCTAATGCTTTTTAAACGTGAAAAGGTGGTCATTGAATGAAATGAAATGAAAGCTAGGACATCATTGAATGATTATTTTTATAAAGTTCTAAAGCTCTAATTTCAATTGCAATTCCTTCCTCACCTCCTCCACTCTCCCTCGTCATCCAGTTTTCTTCATTTACTTTAATTTTCTATATTTGATCAAAGTTCATCAATTAAGTTCAACCATTGGCGAAAAAAAATATACTGCAGCATTTATATTTTCTTTCAAATTAGTAAATTCTAAAATTTTTGATCATACTCGTTTTTTATATTTTTGATCTATTAACTTATCTCGAAAACTTGCTTATGTTTTGTTATAAAATTATCTGTTGTTTTAAGATTACTAGAACCTAGGGTTGTTTTACTGTTGCGTATAAAAAGAGATTAAAGTTTTTTTAATAATCTCATTTTCTAAGTAAACTTACTCGTATATACACATTTTTTTGCAATAATTACTGAAGATAATATTTAATATTATTGTAAAAAGGGATATTATAAAGTTGAAAGTAATGTTCACTGGTAAAAAGAAATATAACTAAAGTATAAGTTTAGGTTACGCAATACAGGTAATGTGTGAGTTTACTACTTTGAAAACAGATAGAACTAATTTATGTTATAATGCTTACTTTAAGTTCAACTCTTTTCCTTTAAACATACATACATGTATACATATACACACATGCATACATACATACATATATTCATGCATACATACATACATAAATACATACATACATACATAAATACATATATACATACATACATACATACATACATACATACATACATACATACATACATACATACATACATACATACATACATACATACATACATACATACATACATACTTACATACCTACCTACATACATACATTCATGTATACATACATGCATACATACATACATACATACATACATACATACATACATACATACATACATACATACATACATACATACATACATACATACATACATACATACATACATACATATTTACATACATACATACATACATACATACATACATACATACATACATACATACATACATACATACATACATACATACATACATACATACATACATACATACATACATACATACATACATACATACATACATACATACATACATACATACATACATACTATGTGTACAGCTTTTCTCTACTGTAACAAGGTAAGTAAATGTAAATGAATTTTTGTGATGCAATTGTAACATACCAGTAATTTACTTTTATAAAAAATCTTGTGGAATATATGATCAACCGTGAAAAACTTTTCTACTAACTGTAAAATCAGTTTTCCAATTTTGGTAGAAACATTTTTGCTATATTGTGGATTAAAGGAAATTATATTGCGCAAAATAAATAAAATTAAATATTAATTACATAATAAAAGAATTGAGTTAGTATCTTATTGTAGGCATAATAGCAAATGTCTTCGTTTAAAATACACTTTTACGTTGATTCGGCAGCGGTAGCCAGGTTTTTATTTTTATTCTTGTTTTGTTTTGACGATGGAGCACGTTTATATTTCTTAACAACTTTTATATTTCTTGTTTTGTATTACATGGTAGATTGTTGTATTAATTATTAACATACAAAAATGTATTTTTTAATTGTACTAGGGGGGAAGGGGGGCACATTTCTCTCGGCTCCCCCGTTTTGTCCGAGAGGAACGTGCTCCCTGGTTATATATATATATATATATATATATAATATATATATATATATATATATATATATATATATATATACCTATTTGATACCTAGGGGGGCAACCAACTATAGTTCATTTTTACTGAAAAATCGAACAATAATTTGTTGCCCTCTAGCATGTCTCAAGAATAGTCCGAAAAGAAGTGATGTTCGCACCTTTTTAAGCCCCTGTTTATATATATATATATATATATATATATATATATATATATATATATATATATATATATATATATATATATATATATATATATATTTATATATATATATATATATATATATATATATATATATATATATATATATATATATATATATATATATATATATATATAAATTGCTTATTGCATTACCTAATAAGTGCAATATATACATACATATAACGTGTATATATAAGTATATATATGCACATATATATATATAATATATATTTATATATATTATATATATATATATATATATATATATATTTTATATATTTACATATAATATATATAAGTATATGTATATATATATATTTATATATATATGCATATATATATATATTATATGTATATATATATACATATATATATATATATATATATATATATATATATATATATATATATATATATATATATATATATATATATATATATATATATATATATTATTTATATATATTTATTTTTTATTTAATTGCTGCGGTGAACAAATGCTCACTGAGTAGTAATCCACTTTTGCAGCAAGTTTAAAAATTACAATTTGAAATTTTATTTCACATAACAAAGTTCATTAAGACTTTTTTTAAAGTTTAACACTGACATTTTATTTTCGACATCAAACGGCAAATTGTTCCAAATTGGAATAATATGATTGGAAAAAAAAATTCTTCTACTCGAGTGTGTACAGGTTTAAGAAGTATATCTATGATTGTGGATATAGTTACGAACACTTCCTGCTGGTCCAGTTGGTCGACAAAAGTTCCTTAGGGAAGATACTGTATTTAGCTGATAAGAATTATTAAGACATTTAAAAAAATTAATTAAATCGCTTCTTTCTCTTCTTATAGATAAGGTTAAATTAAGTCTATTTAATCTTTTCTCATAAAGAAACTCTGAATATTCTGGTATTGGTCTTGTTGCTCTATGTTATACTCCTTCAATAAGATTAATGTCTTTTTTTAAAATGGATTCCAAATAGAAGACGCATATTCTAGATGAGGGCGTACTAGCGAAACATAACAATTTAGGTATATCAGCATTTAAAAATAAAAACGTGTGTCGGATAAGACCTAAAATTCTATTTGCTTTAGAAACACACGCAGATATATGGTGACCGTATTTCAGATTGCTTTTAAACATAATACCAAGATCATTTACAAAGTTTACAGTACTCAATTGATAATCAGAAATGTAATATTTATTGATATTTTTATTTAATTTATTACTTTTAATTGATATGCATTATTTTACATTTTTCTATATTTAGTTTCATACTACAGTCATTGCACCAGTTGAAAATAGAATTTATGTCATCCTGTAGATCATTACTACTGTTATCACAGATTATGTGGAAAACTTGGCAATCATTAGCATAAAGCTTACATTTATTTTTTAGTTTATCCGGAGGGTCATTAATATAAATTAAAAACAAAATTGGTCTTAAAACAGATCCTTGTGGTACACTACTTAAAACATTAAGCCACGTAGAAACAATGTCTTCAAGAATAACTCTTTGTCTTCTATTTGATAAAAAAGATTCAATCTATTTAAGAATGAATCCCTTTATACCGTACATTTCAATTTTTAATATACGTTTACTATGGTGAACTCTGTCAAATGCTTTAGAAAAGTCAGTAAAAAGAATATCAATAGGATAATCTTGATCTACTGCTAGAGTTACAATATCTTGGCTTTCAAGTAAATTTGTAAAGCAAGATTTACCAAGTAAAAAACCATGCTGATTCTTGTTTATCAAACTATTGTCTAAAAGATGCCGAATGATTTTTTTTAATAATCTTTCTAAAATTTTGCATATAACTGACGTGAGAATCAGGTCTATAGTTAGAAGGTTCAAGCCTATCACGATTTTTAAAAATCGGAACTATGTTTGAGTCTTTCCATGCTTTTGGTGCTACTATTAATTTAAGTGATAGCTTAAAAATATATTCAATAAAATACTCAGACTTAAAGAACAGGTACTCAATACATACGGATGGACTCCATTGTTCCCACAGGATTTGTATTTATCTAATGAGTTTAACTGTACAAGATTTCATCCCAACTGATTATTTTGTTTAAATCATTTTCACAATGGACATGAGTAACAGGATCAAAATTCGGTAAGGCTTTGTTATCGTCTTTAGTAAATACAGATTGAAAATGTGTGTTTAACAAATTTGTAATATCTAAAAGGTTATCACTCACAGTTTCATAATATATGTATAAGTATATATATATATATATATATATATATATATATACATATATATATATATATATATATATATATATATATATATATATATATATATATATATATATATATATATATATATATATATATATATATATATATATATATATATATATGTATATATATATTTATATATATATATATATATATATATATATATACTATTTTAAGATTGTATAACTAATAAAAGATGTTTTACATGCTCTTTAAAGTCATTGGTACAATCTTGATTCCACCTTTAATATGGGTTGTATGGATTTATATCAAACATCTTGTTGACTGCTTGTCCTATCCTCAAGGACCATTTCCTCTTCCATTTATGGGAAATGTTCATTTAATAAGAAATAGGGAGTCTTATAAAGTGTTTTCTGAATTTCAGAAGTTTTATGGCAGCGTTTTTGGATTTAGCATTGGCTCAACCAGATATGTGGTTGTAAATAACTTAGAAGGAGTTCAAGAGGTTTTGATCAAAAAAGGTTCACAGTTTGCTGGCCGCCCAAGACGAGCAAGTATGTATCTTTTTTATGTAGTTTAATGATGTAATCTAGTAGGGTCATCTTTAACTAGTGTATATTAGAACAAGAAAGAAGGTAGTCTATTTTTATTAATCATCTGAAGCAGCACCTTTAAATTTAGTTTACCTATTTATTTAAACTGGCATGCAATTTTGTATTATCAACCTTGACATCCAGTGTTTTTAAAGAAGAAAAATGTTATAATTTTGCAGGAAAATGTTTACTTGTGTGGTATTTTGATATAGTGTGAAATTAAATAAAATTATTTTCTTTTTTACAAATATTTTTTACTTATGAATTTGTTTTAACAATTTTCATTTTTAACTTTCAATGAAATGTTGGTGGGGGTAGGGAGGGGTCTCTTTTAAATGAACTTGTTGAACATATTGATAGAAAAATGTTTGAAACATTTTATTCTACTTTAACTCACTGTCTTTAATTTTAAGATATCTATTTGATAGTGAACCTTTTTTTAATCCACATTTACATGAGACACTGTTAAAAAAATAGCGCGTTTTTTACGGAAAAGTTCCGGCAGCTGCTGATGACCAAACTACCTGTTATTTTACGGGAAAACCCATCGTATATAAACGGAAGTTTCCGTAAACAAACGGAATTTTTCCGTTAAAATACAATGTGTTTTTTCCGTTAAACAACGGGTAGTTTGGTCATCGGCAGCTGCCGGAGCTTTTCCGTAAATAAACGGATACTTATATAATTTATATAAGTTTTTTTTATAAATTTTTAATTATAAGTTTTTTCCGTTAAACAACGGAAAGGCAACTCAGCTGCCGGATAGTTTCCGTAAATAAAAGTAAAATTTAAATAAATTATTTCTAGCAAATCTTATATAAAATCAATGGCATGTTTTTGAAAATATTTTCTGAAAACAAACTTTTTTTGATTTACATAAAAAATATTAAAATTTCCGTGATTTACATTTCACTTCAACAGCAAATACAAAAATAAATAAAAAATTAGTAAAGTAATAAACACTTTCAAAAATATTATTAGCAATTTTGATAAAGTATATACAGCACATAATAATATAATTATATTACATATTCATATATACATTTACAATTTAGATATACTTAAAAACTTATCTTTAAGTAATATATATTGGTTAAATAACAAATATAAATATAAGTAAATCAAAATCAATCCAAATACACAAAAATACAATCTTTACTTTCTTTTCCATTTTGAGTCAACTTTAAATCTAAAATAAAAACAAAAAAAATAAAGTTTTTGAGTAAGAAAAGATTTTAATATTTAACAAAGTAATAAATTATAAAAAACACTCATTATGTGCAATGGTTACCTAAAAGTTGTTACTCAATATGAGTGATTTAACTAAGGCCAAGCAACAAACAACTCTGGATAAAGTTAAAAACTCAATAAATACAAACTTCTACAAGAAATAAAAACCTAAATTAAAGTATGATACAAATAGAGGTTTTGAAGTGGAACATAACCAATCTCAGTTTGTTTTTCATTGTAATGGTGATAACCAAATCTCCTGTTAATACCATTGTTGGCGCCATTTTTGTTAAATAAATAAAAACCTTTACAACTTCTTTAAAATCAAATTACAATAATTAATTACTAAATTTACTAACAAAATAACTCAACAATTTAACAATAAAATACAAATTTTCTTTTCTATAATAAAAACTTATCAAATTATTATTTTTATTTAATATAAAACCATTTCAAAAATCAAATTTAAAATTTATTAATAAAGATACTTATTTAGGTCTAACCTTTAGCAATCTAAAAAAAAATATAAAACATAACTATAATATAACAAAAAATTGAAAATTTATAAATGAAATAATTTTATTTATCTGGTCCATTGTCATCACTAATAAAATAAATATATAATCAATGAAAAACCTTTTACCATTTTTAAAAAAAGATATTTTTTTTGTTTATGCTTAAGTTAAAAGTTGTTAAAAATCAAAGTACAATACCTATCTTGGAAAAAAAATTGACACATATATATATATATATATATATATATATATATATATATATATATATATATATATATATATATATATATATATATATATATATATATATATATACATAAGAGAGAGAGAGAGAGAGAGAGATTAAGATGTAATTCATATACAGTCTAGTGACATTGAAATGGAAACACTTTTGAAACATGATTACTTTTTGTTTAAACAATATTTAACGATATTATTTATAATTTAATCACATATTTAAAATAGTTAGCGAAAAATAAAGATTTATGTAAATAAAGCATTTTGACAAAAAAAAAATCAAAAAAATACAAAGAACGTATTTTATTGTTGCTTCAACTTGGATATTCATATAAAACGATTAAAATTTTTTTAGAAAAGGAATCAATCAAAGTTTTAATAACCATCATTAGTAGACATCAAACATCAAAAAATTAGTTTACCTTTAAGAATCCTCATTATTGTCATTAAAACATTCTAAAAAAGAAAAGTTTTCATTTTATATCATATAAAATGAAAACTTTTCTTTTTTAGAATGTTTTAATGACAATAATGAGGATTCTTAAAGGTAATTATGTTTTATGGTATTTCTTATATCTAATTTTTTATTTTGTTTGTCAATATTTCATCTTTACTTAAGTTATGTAAAGATGAAATATTGACAAACAAAATAAAAAATTAGAACTAAGAAATACCATAAAACTGACCAAAGCAGAGTATCTAATTTTATCTCAATATAATTTTCACAAAAATATATTTACATTTCACTTAAATAATATAAAAGCGTTATGAAATGTGCAGATAATCATTCAATTGTATATATATTCAGAAGATAAATTTTCTTGGATGATTGTAAAAAAGCAATTTGACAAAAAACAAAAAAGCATCATTTAAGCAATTTGTTTTGAAAAAACAGTTTATTTTTTCAAAACAAATTTTTCTTATTTCCAGGTAAACGGGTTAAAAATACTTAAAACGAAGACTTTTTACATTCATTTAATTTAGTATTACAGGGTTATTCATTCTTATATGTGCGTCTATTCATTTTTATATGCGCCTTTATTCATTCTTATATGCGCATTTATTCTTTTTTATATGCGCTTTTATTCATTCTTATATGCGCATTTATTCTTTTTTATATGCGCATTTATTCATTCTTATATGCGTATTTATTTATTCTTATATGTGCGTTTGTATATGCGTCAACCACCTATAAAATCTCTATTATAATTTAATATAAACGATAAATGCGCTTTTAAATTTTTGAATAGATATATTTAAAATATAAATTAGGTTGTTTTCATTGTTATTTATTTAAGAAATGGTTGCCGAGCCAGCGCTGGATTTATATAACTACGCATATGGTTGTAAAATGGAACTATATTAAACTCTGTAGTATCCATAATATTTTTAAGTTTCCTGATTACCTGATCCGTATTTCGAGGCCTTTCTCCCTGTTTGTAAGTATGTTTTAAAGAAGAAAAAAATTCTTCTATTGGATTAAGCTGTGGCGTGTAAGCTGGCAGATACTTAATAGCTATACTATGAGAGGCTAGTGTTTGCCTAACAGAAAGACTCCAGTGGAATTTACAATTGTCCATAACAAGCACCGGCGCTTCCACATTTGCATTCCTAATCGCTGGTGCCATCATTGTAGTTATGAAAGTACAAAATGAATCTGCATTCCAGCCTCCAGTTTTTGTTTCATAAGCAAGTACTCCCATTGTTGAAAAAGCACAAATTAATCTAACATTCTTGCCACGATTTGCAGGCGACTGTAAAATTGCTGGCGCACCTCTTAGCGAATAACCATATGTGCTGTTAGTGTGCACATTAAACCCAGTTTCATTCAAATAAATAAGTTTTTCATCTGAAATTCCGTTAATTTCGCTTGCAAATGCATAGCGTGCATTAATATTTCGTGTTGAATTTCGTTCTTCTGCCACATGCACAACACGTTTTCTTGATAAATCCGAGCGTTTGAGTTTTCTTGAAATAGTAGGCTGAGACATGTTGAAGCCTGCTGCAGAAAGATTTTCTTTTATTGTTTCTTGCGTGCAAAGATTGTTTTTTTGTACGCATAATTCGAATATATTTTTTATTTGAGCGTTTATAGGTCTATCACCTCGTTTTTTATCAGAAAACGACTTGAATGCAGTCATGTCGTCGAATTATACTCTGTTTAACTTAACAACAAAATTTTGAACTGCGCGCTTCGATAAATTAAGAGAAGTGGAAATGCTTGTTGTAGATTGATTTCTTTCAATTAAATGCTTAAGCATTTCAATGTGCTCTTTTGTAACATTTTTCCTTTTTTTACGATTGGTACTGCTCTTTTCTATTCCATCCATAGGGGTGTATAATTTGATATTAATAATAATTATAAATAATTAAATTTAAATCTAGATAAATGAATAATTATATAAATAATAAATTAATCAATCAAGAAATATAATAATAAAATTATAAAGAACTAATAATAAATTAAATAAACTATCATTGAAAACAAAGAACTAATACTAAATTAAATGAATGTAAAAAGTCTTCGTTTTAAATATTTTTAACCTCGTTTACCTGGAAATAAAAAAAATTTGTTTTGAAAAAATAAACTGTTTTTTCAAAACAAATTGCTTAAATGATACTTTTTTGTTCAAATTGCTTTTATACAATTGCTTTGTAAAACGCATATAAGAATGAATAAATGCGCATATAAAAATGAATAAATGCGCATATAAGAATGAATAAAGGCGCATATAAAAATGAACAAATGCGCATATAAGAATGAATAAAGGCGCATATAAAAATGAATAGACGCGCATATAAGAATGAATAACCCTGTAAAAAAGAATACTGCTGCTTTAGGAAAAAACTCAATTAAATTAACCGCAAATATCAAGAACTATAATGAGTTGTACTCAATGCAACTAAGGCCTGGTACACGTTTTTCTGAACAAAATGTAAGTTTTTTCAATTACAATATATGTAACTTTTTTCATAAAA